AACAGCCTGGAGATCTCTATACTTTACCCGAGAAATCAATTCCAACCGGGGAAAGAGTCGGATCCTGGGAAAACCTCCACCACGAGGGCTACTGGCTACACCGTTCAGCGAAACATACAATGATCCGACGCGCGCTTGCCCATGATATTCCCATGGAAGATCGCATGGCCCCCGGGCAATCACCTGCCTCACAACTTGCAAACAAATCCTACTTGTACGACACATATCTTGTTCCCGATACTCATGTGGAGGCACCCCAAGAAGGACGAACTGGCTTCGACCACTCTGGTCTAATATTGAGCACGCTAAAGGCTGCCATTAAGGAATTTGCAAAACGCCACCAAATGAGGAAAGTTGAGAGCTTGAGTCTTGAGGCAGCCGAGGAGTATATGCGCATTGGTTCATGGTCCGAAGCGCATGGCATTCTCCAGCCGCTGTGGTCTACTCTTAGCTGGCGCCGCTCAGGGTGGTGGCATCTAATGGTCAATTTCGGATGGGCACTCAGAGAATGTGCTCTCAGGGTGCAGGACAGTGAGACAGTCTTGCGACTGGACTGGGAGCTGCTGAACAAGAGTGAGTTAATTCCATTTATTCTGTGCGTATTGTCTTCCAATTTTAATATTCATTCCGATAGCTTTCAAACCAAGACCTTCGTGGCATTATGACATCCACAGGAGTCTTGAAAGTTTGCCTTCAGAAAAGCCAAAGCCTTCTCTTATCCTTCGCGCAGAGGATGTATTAACAAGTCGTAAGTTGGCAAACCCGTAATGCAAAGATTGCACTGACCCCTGTCTTCAAAGTGACCGCATCATTGGTGTTCGAGAAATCCGATGGCAACGTTGGGGAACCCCTACAGGCCCAACTTTCCATTACATCCTGTGCTCATAAATCCTCGGCTCCTATCCGGCTTTCAGAGGTCAAACTGGTTTTCGAAGGATGTCTCCGCCCAGTAAAGGTTCAATCTGACCAGAATCAGGATGCTGACACCACAACGCCATGCCGCATCGCAACTCTTCCACTCCGCGAGCCGAGCAACCCTGATACTGTTGTCCAATCCCCAGCCGGTGGACTGACCGCATTGGTGGGTATAGCAGATCTGACTCTGGGGCCCTCCCAGACCAAAATCTTCAACCTCACCTGTATTCCTCGCGAAGCTGGTGAAGCCAGGGTTGCTTCAATCACCATGTTGATCGAAGAAGAACAATTTGATTTGGGTTATGCGATCACCGAGCCAGATCAGCGTGAATCATTCTGGTGGCAGCAGACCCAAAAGGGCGTGACCCGCAGAAGAGTGGGCAAGGATCGGGATACTGGCAGATGCAAGGTTATGCCTAAGCCTCCCAAGATTCGCCTCACAACTCCCAACCTGAAGGAGACCTACTATACCAATGAACTGGTGACGCTTCAGATTGGTATACACAATGAAGAAGACGAAGCTGCCGATGTATCTGCTGAAATCAGACTCTTCGGCGCCGAGTCCACAGCTCAAATACAGTGGCTCGACGGCGATGGCAACTCCGAACTCCTTGAATCAGGCGCCAGCACCCCGATTGAGGGGCCATCTCATTACTTGAAACGATCTGTGGGTGTTCTGGAGCGCTCTTCTAACAAAACAATCACAATCGTGCTGGCCGATACCCAGGAGGCTACGGATTTCACGTTGGAAGTTTCGGCTGTGTACCATTTGGTGTCTGATATCCAGACCCCGATTATGAAAAAAATCACTGTTGACCTGTCGTTTATTCGGCCGTTCGAAGCAAACTATGAATTCTTGCCTGCAATTCACCCTCAGTCATGGCCCAATTTCTTCGCAGTTAGCGATGACCTACTCGAGGATGGCTCTGCACTAAGTCCTGCAGGCCTGTTCCAGAAGTGGTGCCTTAATTCCAAGGTAGTTTCCTTTGCACTGGAGCCGCTGGTAATTGACAAGATCTCCCTGATTCTTCTCGAAGCCAACGGGGGAGCCATTTGCGAGGTTCACTCGGAAGAGCTTGTCAGTCCAGAAACAGCCCATCTCGCACCAGAAGAACTGCGAGAATCCAACTTCTGCCTCGATATCCAGAAGCTCATCCTCGGAGACCGTCGACCAACTGCGCTTACCTGCGCATTGGAGATCAATTGGCGTCGGCAATCATCTGAAACTGCAGCTTCCTTTGACGCCAAAAACTCAGTTACAACCACCGTCCTCGATATTCCCCGATTCGTCGTCCCCATGGGCGAGCCTCGAGTCCTTGCATCGGCTACCCCATCCAACAATATGCCAGGGTTGATCCATATGGATTATGTACTCGAGAACTCCTCCACCCACTTCCTCACCTTCAATCTGGTCATGGAAGCTAGCGAGCACTTTGCCTTTAGCGGGCCAAAGACTACCGTTGTGCAGCTTGTGCCGCTGAGTCGTCATACAGTGAACTTCAATTTGTTTGCGGCGAAGCGCGGCTTATGGATTCAGCCACAGCTGGTGGTTATTGATACCTACTTCAACAAAACGCTTCGCGTCCTTCCAACGGGGGATATGAAATCGGACAAGAAGGGGGTTCTAGTATGGGTTGATGCCGACGATTGAATGATATGACTAGAATCTGAGATACATGCTGTAGATGAATTGGACTGTCTCATAATAAGCAAATATTGTACAAAGAATACAGATCCCCAACTTCATACACTACTTGCTATGTATAGATGAGGATATGTCACGTGTTCAACCCTTATCACATAACCCGGATTTCCTAATGAGGCTAGCGGCGATCGGTCTTCCGCATGTCTTGCCGTCAGAGAGCTTCATCACAGTCACTCAAAGACATAACAGCTCACTTCCCTTGATCTCTGCAGTATCTACACCTGTAATTGAAGCCTCAGCATCGAAATACCCAGCCGATTATTTTCCCCCTCCTCGGGAATCCGTTCCCACGCCTCATTTGCCCGAGAAACCCCCTCCAACGCGCAATTAAACTTGTCTAACCCGACAGCCTCGTCGCTGACACCGTAACTATGGCGGCGCAAGCGGCGTTGATCGCCGATACCATCATCGGAATGAAGCGGGCCTTGCGCAGAGAGCGTGATGGTAAGTTACTGACCAAGCTGTCTGTCTTTTCAAGCAGAATCGTTTTCTGACATCTTTCTTCACCAGATAATGGCCCGGACGACCCGATCATGGCGCCGACCAACCGGGGGAACAAAATGCATGCCAATGCGAAGTATGTGAGCGAGGGTGCATTGGGCTACATCAACGCCGAGGATTACTACAAGCAGGTGTGTAGTTTGCCAATCTCGGGACTTGGGTGTTGTGGCGATGAGATGGGACCAGTATTTTATGGAAACTGACCTTTGGCCGGTAATTAGAGAGTCGATCACGCTGGCTATACGCGCTACATCCTTCAGCCGAACCCGGTTCGCTACGATTCAGAGGGAGACGAGCTTGATGAGGATGATGAAGATTCCGAGGCTGATGCTGTTGCTGCTGAAGAGAACCCTTTCTCTGGGATTGCGCTTGAGAGTAAGTTCTTTCTCTCCTGTTTTGAGTACTGCCTGAGGATAACTGACCTGTTTCTTCCTTTCCCCCCCTTCTAGCTCTTCTGTGTCCATTGAAGCATCCTTCCGAACTCCCCACCCATCCTTCTATGTCCCAAGCATACACGTCGGAAGCCCTGGAGAAGATGACAGCGGCGGTCGAACACAAGCTCCGCCAGGAACGGGCTTTGCTCTGGCGCGCCAGGAACTTGCATAGGCAATTCCTCGGTGATAGCGGTTGGATGCCGTGCGGTGCGCTCGAGACGCCCAATGATCACTTGATATTCGACTCTAGGCTTGCTAGTAATGACCCGAGTGTATATGCCGGTCAAGGTGCAAGTGAGAATGGTACTCCGTCCACCGCTAGAGACCTCAATGACCCGCAGGACGCGGCACAAAAGGTACCTGCATCAATAGCCACACAGGACCCCCAACCGGCACAGAACGGGACAAAAGCCCAGCCCAGTTCAACGCAGAATGACGTGGAAATGGTCGAGGTCCCAGCACAGGGCGAACCCACCAGGAACGGCCTGCAGCTTAAATCGGAAGAGACCGATGCCACCGTCAAAGACCTCCCACCTCACCCTAACACCTCGACTCCCGCCCAGGAGAGCAACAACAGCGATGCAGCCGGGACAAGCACAAACCCACCCCCCAACGGGAAACAAGACATGGACACGACGAAAGATGCCGATCTCGTCGATACAACCGAACTCAACGACGACACAGAACAAGACCTCGAAATGCACGATGGCGACTCACCAGAACCGCCACGGCGAATGACAACGCGCGCGCAAACCAACGCTGTCAACCCAAACGAAACTGAAAACGGTTCCCCAATCTCCGACACAGCCTTCCCACTCCCAACTCCGCATCCCCTCTTCCTCGTCCCGGACAATATCCGCCCCGATCCCAACTTCGGCCTCCCCGCCGCTGAAGCCGAGGAAACCCGCCGGCTGCTCTGGTCGTATATCCAGAAGCAAGAAGAGACGGTGCGCGGGGTTGAGCACATGCTTGATTCGCTGAATAGATCGTGCCGCATGAAAGCTGATGTTCTAGAGTGGTGTAAGGCTGAGGGACATGTTGGCGAGATGAGTGATGGCGAGGACTGGTATGACCGTGAGCAATGGGGACTGGCTGAGGGAGAGGATTTGAAGAAGGGGACTGATGAGGATGAGGTTGAGACTGTTGATGAGAGTCGGACACAGGGGAAGAGGGGGAGAGGAAGGCGGCAGTGAGAGATGGGCCGTTGGCAGTGGTATTCCACTTTGCTTCTTTGCTTCTTCTTCTCTTTTGATCTTGGGCCCTCTGGCATTGTCATGTTCTGGTCTCTTCCTGGTGATACGAACTCTACATACTACCCTGTCTCTTGTCTCTGTTTCTTTGGGTTCTTTGATTCCTGTGGCGTCGGTATATACCCTCATTTCTATAATAATCATGATTTTGGTTACTGTTTCTGGGCCCAACAAGACATTTTTCATTAATCTACGTCAAAAAACTAACATCTGGAATGTCCTTGAGCCATCCCAGTAGGGCACGCACGTCCACTTGGAGAGGAGACAATGCGTGCATGGTGAGACTGTCCAGGGGCTATTATGTTGCTTTTGTCCTTCTTTGCCCTCATCATTGGTATTGTTGTTGTTCTGGCCCTCAATCTCGGCATCATCGTTGTAGGTTTGCTTCTTGATCTGATCATCGTCTTCCTGGGCCTCGTCCTGCCTGCCCATGACAATCTTGAGATCATAACCGCCACGCCTCTACAGCTGTAGACGTTTTGGTATCTAAGCAATGATACGGCATTGATGATCACTGCCACAATTCGGTATCTGTACTTCTTCCCCTAGCATAGTCGAACAATGTCCTCTATTGGAGGGGAAGGGGTTCGGTTCAAGCTGTCAGATTGACGGTCAACTTGACGGTCAAACCTTGACTCTCTGTCTTTCGGCGACTCTGTTTCTCGTCTTCCAGGACTTCCATACCAAGATCCCGCGCGCAAGGTTGTCAATGTCATGTCTGGGTATGGCAAGTCGTGGTTATCACGCCCTCATATGAGGGAGTGCATCAGGTCTTCTATGTCTTCAGCTTTGATTTGCGCCTTCCACAGTGATGCCAGTGGTTCACTGGTTCCTGGGTATGTTGGCACAGTCTTTGCCCAGGTCGAGTCTTCTCAGCATACCGAGGTATACGGTGACACCATGGACCTGGCGAATGCCCTTTTTTTTTTTTTTTTTTTTTGAATTCATCTACTAGGCGAAGTAGATGCTGAAAGTTCTAAATAGTTTGTATTCGAGTCTTGGATGTGCTTCTTCTTCTTCTGTGGGTATGTTCATCTCCCCGGTCACAGCTTCACTCTCTTCTGCTTCACGTGGTTTTGTTTCCTTTCATCTTCCCTTCCTGTTGTTCTGCCTCCCCAATCTGCCATCTCTTCTTTCTTTTCGGGGGATATAGCAACGGGAAACATTCTTCCCTGATTGCGGTGTTCACCATTCCTGTCTCGGAACTCCAATCCGTCGAGTGTAATTGAGCTAGGGGGCACGCCTCTTAAAAGATCACACTGGACATCGGAAGTGGTTTCTCAGTGCTCCCTGCTTGCATGTTTCCGCCATTCCTGTATCTGAACTTCGAATCATCGAGTACGTTCCTCCAGGCTGGCCTCTGCCTCAACAAGACGAGTTCATCGTGATTTTCACCAGTCGTTCCAAGGCTTTGTTCATCCTAGCCAATGACCGGGATATCTGTTGATGACCGAACTCAACACTGGTTCCAACAAGCTCAAGTTGTGGGATAGATGATCTCATAGCGTAGGCGAATCCAAAGCACAATGTAAACCATCCAGCATGACCCTCGCCGTGAAGGTCTTCCTCCCACCCTAAAGGTCCAGAGTAGAAAGACCAGAAAAGAGTATCGGTAGTCCCTGGAGATCTTTATAGCTCGAGTCTTTGTCAAAGGGCGAGGTATGGTAGTATCCTGGTTTAGTCCACCCCGATGGACTGAAGAGGGTCATGCCTAGCGAGTTGACATGTTGGAAGTCTCTTTTGGCTTTGATTAGTTCTTGATTTGTCTTTTTCGCTTGCCAAACTGCGGGCTACTAGGTGACTTGTGCAAATGTATCCAATGACTGTAGTCATGGGCTTCTTCTCTCATTTGTTCTTCACTTGCTCGTCACCTGCGAGCAGGTGCAAGTGGAAGGGTAAGCCGGCCATACATCAAATGGTACATATGCAATGGTATTGGCGGAAAACTGGCAGTCGAACTGGCTCTTTGCGTGGGTTTTGCTGCAGCTTGCCGCTTTTGGGTCTCAAGGTATTGACTGAGGTTGATGACCCGAGAAGTGAAGAGGAAAGTCGAGCGTACTTATATGTCCCCAAAGACTAGGAACGCGCGTCTCTAGACAAACGGCCTTCTATTAGCCGGAGTATTGCGTAGAAAAATTGAGGAATTGAGTATAGACCGAGATCAGGCTAAGGCATTGGGATGTAGTATAACACTCTGACAACTGAGCTCATGACTAGGTCCTCTTAACTAGGGCACATACCCTAGTAGATGCATGTGTGAATGCGGCGAAAGCTTTTTGGGTCGGTCTAATATATGGTCCTGACAAAAGAGCAAAGAAGAGAGAAGGATTGATTCTCTACAAACAGAAGCTAACTAAATGCTAGGAGGGAGCCAAACAAACCAGGCATTGAAGTAAGATGATCTATCTAGGCCTTTATAAACATACCATATCTTTCTTAGTTGCTTAGATTGTTGTTCAGTGGTCGTCGCTTTGCTGTTCTGCTCTTCATGATCGAAGCATAGTGCATGGGAAGAGACAGAGAGAACATAATTGTACAGTATTAGATGTCTTAGATTCAAGGGTTTTTGTCTGGAGCATCTTTTGCCCGCTGTAGATATCTCTCTCCTTTTCCCATAAAACAGACACAATACTTCCAGAGTCCCTTGCACATACTCAGCAATCACAAGTAAGCAACAAAGGTCTACTGATTCACAGTCGTACTGCAGGTTTGGCGCGATGGGTTGATTGAATTATATCTTTTGTAGTCGCGTAAGGGAAATCACAGTGGGGCCTTGTCCTGTTATACTCATCCCCAGTATCAAGGACAAGGCAAAGATCTATCGTCTACAGGTCCAGCATCGTTGAAGATTCGGATGCATCCATGTGCTGGAAACTTGTCGTGGGCAACCCTAGACTTTTTGGGTGTCAAGTTGTCTGAAGCAACCCGGCCTCTCTTTTGGTGTTCGGATTGTGGATGTTGAATGTCCTGGCCAATCCTGGTATACATTCATGGCGCTTACTGCTTCTTGCCGCCCTGCTTCTTGGCACGTTCGCGCTCACGCTTGGCGTAGATCTCAGCAGTGAAGGGGCTAGAGACAGTCAGTTTAGCTCTAGGAATGCTTCAAAAATTAATACTTACTCTTCCCAGCCGAGAGCGAACCAGTACAGGATAAAGACCTGGGCAGTCAGAAGAATACCAGCAACCTTGCCGTGGTACAGTGCAACACCAAGGAAGTTCAACGTGCTACCCCAGTACATCGGCGAGCCGGTCACGTTGAAAGGGAACCCGGTGACAGGAGCGTCCATAAGAATACCGAAGTAGTCGCCAAGGTAGGTACCGGTCACACCAAGAGCCCACATGCTGGAGAGAACCAGGACGGAACCGATAGTAAACAGGATACCTCCAACGATGGGTTGGTGGACAGGAGCGTAGAAGGGCTGGTCAGCTAGAGCGAGTTGGTAGATATGGTCACGGAGAATCCCGAGGGAAAAGATGGTGACTGCAAGGACGTAGCAGCCATTGTATGCGCCTCCGAAGAGGCGGGTCAAGAAGTGGTTGCGGTACTCTGTTCAGCGGTTAGCCAAGGTCGAATGCAACAGTCCTTGGGTGGAGTTGGCCAACCTGCGCGGGCAACAATGCTAGAAAGCTCAGATTAGCTATTGCTCATGGACAGAATAATTGCCATTGTGGTTTTCTCAACCAAAATTGTCACTCACTTCCAAAAAATTGGGTTAAAAGCAATAGTCGCAGCGGACCCTGTTGGGGTCAATCACATGCAAATTGTTGAGATTTTGTAAAGGCCAACTTACATAGTAAAGGCTTGGAGGAAAAATCGACAAAATCCGTAAGAGAGGCCATGGCGCAAAAACCGTTAAACCAGAAAGAGTGAAGAGAAGAGAATAGGAAGAAGGAAGAAAGAAGATGAAGAAGAAGAAAAAGAAGAAGAGGGGAAAGACATGTTGGGCCCCGGATTAACAGCTTAAGTAAACAAAAATGACGTCCACCCGTAGGTTCCTCTCGCACGGTCACGGGATTGTTTCTTTCTCGACTCCTTGGCTCTTCCTTTTTGATACCAGTACAGCTGAGATCCACGTCTTTATCCCTTCTCTTCTGACTCCTAGGGACATTGTATCACATATCGACTTCATTCCAGGACGCTCGACACGAACGAGAGCTTCATCGCCAATCAGGCCAGGTTGACCGTGACCACAGTACTATGCCGAGCCGTTCGCTCCCAAGTTCCCGGGAGTGATCGTTATGAGACGTGGAGCTTTGACAAGAGAGTGGGGAGAATGGCCCTTAGTCGCCGCGACCTCGTTCTGGCGGGCGTCGGCGTATTCATCGCTTGGGGTCTTGTGGTTCGCTGGCTGCCGATCCTCCGCTATCTAGGATATGCCGTGACACTGGGTGCCATCCTATCTTCCGTAGGACTTTTTGGAGTTGTCGCATTGACAATCCGGCATCAGAATGACAAAGTCGACACCAAGAAAGTTTCGGTGGCTTTCATAAAACCCAACCAATGGCGAAAAGAAGTGCTGAATGTCCGCCGGAGCACACGATACCGGCCCCGGCCACTCTATCCTCAGTCTTTTGTCGTATCGGAAGGGATCGACGAACTTTTATCTTTCATAACCCGAGACTTTATTTCCTCGTGGTATCACAGTATCAGCCCGAACCCCATATTTGTCAATGAAGTTGATCGAACGATCCGTATCGCCCTTGAAAACCTCCGGGATAGGTTAGTTGCGGAGGACATGGTCTCGCTGATCGTATCGCGCATCTTTCCTATCGTGACATCGCATCTCAAGGAATTTGACATTGCCGAACGTTCAATTCGCGGACGCAATCTCAATCGAAATGTGACCGAGTCTGGAGAGCTTGATCTGGCCATTGCAAACAAATACCGTGAAGGTCGCTTACATCCTGCTGTTGCAACATCTGTGTCCGATCGAAAGTCTGTTCAACAGGAGTACCTGCGCAAGCTAGCGGTTGGCCTTTTACCCCAGCTATTTCCGGAAAGTGTTCTGAACAGTCGTATTGTGTCGGTTCTGATTCGCGAAATCATCTCATGCGCTGTTCTTATTCCGATAGTTACTTCATTATCAGATCCAGATACATGGAACCAACTAATGGAAGCATATGGTCGTACGGCCTTACAGGATCGGAAGACTGTACGCAAACTGCGCGCCGCTTTGGACCAGCATGCGTCACCCACACCTAAGTCCAAGCGTGGGCAACCATTCCCACGACTGTCCGCAACCGATTCAGAGCGAGCATTTGAGCGCTTTGTGAGGGCAATCAGGAAATGTAATAACCTTTCCGATGCCCGTCGGTTCCGTGCCCTCGTTTCCAGTCAATTGAAGCAAGAGAGTGTGGTAGAAGGCCAGGATCAGGTCTATTTGAAGCGCCTTGAAACAGGCAAACGTGTTCTTGATCAGAAAGTGGCGAAACTTGCGAGACCTGGCGAGGACTCCCATGTACCTCCAGCGTTAGACCTTCGACCCGAGATCCCACCTAGAACGCATGAATCGTCACTGATTGACGTGATGCACAACGCATCTGGACTTTCTTATTTCATGGAATTTATGGACCGCCAAAAGCTGATGTCGCTTGTTCAATTCTGGGTTGTTGTGGATGGATTCCGCAACCCACTTGAAGATGACTTTGGAGATGAGGCAGTGCCCACTTCATTAGCATGGAAGCCAGCAGACAGAAACGACCTAGCCCTCATCAGTGAAACCTATCTATCAAAACCCGAACTAAAGGTTTCTGAGGAGTCTCGCCGAGCAGTCAAGACATTCCTGAGTGCAGGAAAGCGTGCCACCCCGGAACAATACCGAAAAGCGCGAATGGTGGTTCTGACAACTCAGTCTGCCATTCTAGAGCTTCTCCAAGATACTTATTATCCAAAGTTCAAGGAGTCTGATCTATACTGGAAGTATCTTGCATCCGATGAAGCATCCGCTGCCCAGGCGTCAGTTCGTCAATCCTCTCCCATAGCAGTCACTTTTGAAACTCCCGAGAGGCGACCTCTCCCCCCTTATTGTCACGAACAACCTCCCAGCCGGGATTGAGACCATCCAGAGATTTGCGACGAGCCGCTGTCTCGTCTAGTGATGTGCGGGGCATGGGGAAATTGTTCGATGATGACGATTCACCACGGCGATCAATAGATTCAGAACGATCTGCTCATCTTTTTGATGACGACTATGACACCGACAATCTCGCCACATCTACCCATAGTTTGGGCAAGGATTCCCAGAATGGCGAGAATGATGCTAGCCAGAGCCAAAGCCAAGTCCTAGAAACTATGGAGGCAGCGCTTAACGATATCATTACCAATGAGCCGAAAAATGGAAGAATCGAAGACCTCAAAGGAGATGTTGCCGGTCTGTTTGGGCCGGAACGTCCTGTTCTTTCGTCGCGAAGCTCGTCCGAAATTCCTCAAGTTGACAACCGGAATGAGAGAACAAAGAAAAGCATCGCATCGCTTGGTCTGGTGGATCATGCATCGCGACTTGGTGTATTTGATGACGACTTATTTCCGGATCAACAAAAATTCATCGAAGATGAATACGAAGAACCAGACGGCGTGGATGAAAAGGACTCAGCAGATGAAGTGCACGAAGCTGCACCGGGTGACTTGGGTCTAACAGAAGCGATTGAGGCGCTTTCAGTGGATATCGACAAGCTTGCAGCCCAGGACTCTGTGGTCCAAGCATTGACACGCAAAGCAGAACTGACAAACAACACTGCGGAACTGAGAATCCTGCGCAAGTCCAAGGCCAGCATTCAGCGCGAAATGCACCGCAAGGAAATGCAGCGGCAGCAGTACATCCTCCAGGAAAGCGATAACAGCTTGTTTGGGCGGTCGACTGTCAGCCTCAAATCTACTGTTGTAGGCAAAGAAGAGGATGATGGCCGTGAATTCGCAATGTGTAAGAGAACCTCCTAATGTACCGTGTGTGACCAGGCTAACTAGTTATCTAGACGTCGTGGAGGTTCGAAGAAATGCCGGCGAACAAATGCCCGCTGCATCGTGGGTCGTTGCACGGCGATACAGCGAGTTCCATGATCTGCATCAGAAGCTACGCCAACGCTACCCCTCTGTCCGGCACTTGGAATTCCCCCGGCGACGCGTTGTGATGAAGCTACAGAAAGAGTTCCTTCACAAACGGCGACTCGCTCTCGAAGCCTATCTGCAGAGACTCATTCTCCTACCGGAGGTCTGTCGCAGCCGCGATCTACGTGCATTCCTCTCTCAGCGTGCCATACTTCCCCGTAAGGAAAATGCCCGCGACAATGAAGGGGAAACCAAAGACCTTGTTACACGCATCTACAACTCCGTCGCAGATGGCATGGATGACTTCCTTGGCAACTTCGGTGTCCTAGACCAACTGTCTACCGCAGGCCAGAACCTCATCTCAGCGGCCACCCAGCAAGCCAGCAACACGACAGTCCCAGACTCTAGCCTCGCAACCGAAGATGCCGCCACAGCCGCCGAAGCCGAAGCGGAACTAAACGCCTTCGAAGATCGTGAGCTTGAGCCATTCATCAAACCCATCTGCGATCTCTTCCTCGAAGCGTTCGAGCTGAACCGCGGCAATAACTGGCTGCGCGGTCGTGCTGTCGTCGTCGTCCTGCACCAGCTCCTCGGCGGAACAATAGAGCGCAAGGTCCGCGACGGAGCGCGCGGCCTGGTACAGGATGACTCGCTTATCAAGTACCTTGCTCTCGCTCGCGATACCCTCTGGCCCGGCGGCGTACTCCGTAAAGCCCCGCCTCGTTCTGCCGCAGACCGTCTCAATAGTCGTGCCGAGGCCACTGTGGTCTTGGCTACGCTCATACCGGATCTGGCGGGTAATGTCGTCGGCAGAGCTAATGCACAGGCTGCAGCCCGTCGCATTTTTGCTACGCTGAATAACCAGCATCTTAATACCCATCTTGCTTTTACGATACTTGACGAGATCGTCCTGGTTCTCTTTGGGAGTTCGGGTCGTTCTCGGTGAGAAGTGAATCGTTATTCTTCCTCCTTACAACCACTGTATATACTCGATTACATCCATCTCTACAATCTCTACATAATTCCAAATATGTCCATCTAACACATCCAAAATTCAAATAATCCTGCTAAGATAAAAAAAAAACCCCATCACGTGTACATGTGAGGCTCAATTGTGCCCAATCTGGCAAAGAGCCCCTAAAACCTCCTAGACTGGATTTCAACAGCTCATATTCTTCTTCTTCTTCTTAACCCCAATGGCCCCTCCCCCAGCTTCAGCCCAATCCCACGCCCTCTCCATCCCCGAAATCTTCGAACTAATCCTCCTCAACCTGGACACCCGCACCCTCCTCACAAAAGCAACCCGAATCTGCCACGCCTGGTCCCATTTCATCAACTCCTCCCCGCAAATTCAATGGGCCCTATTCTTCCGTCCCCTCGAAAACGGCATGAATAAAACAAAGACCCAGAATCCACTCCTAGCAGAAACCTTCCCGTCAATCTTCTACCGATCCGGGTCTAGCAATGGAGGAAGTACCAATAAAAAGAACGATCCGGAAGCCGACACAATAAACGACAAAATCAATTCCAAGCTCACATTCACCACCTTCGACATGGTCCGGAACCCGCATAAATGGGACGCATATATCAGACCGGAGGCTAGCTGGCGCCGTATGCTGGTCCAGCAGCCGCCGGTGAATACGCTATCGCTGCTAAGGAGTAATGTCGGACATGGCGGACAGTATTTGTACATTTATGAAGCGTTGGTGAGTATTCAGGTCTGCTTCTTTACATAATATATACATATGGTTATCTATCTCTACATAATGATCTTTGTATTTGTTTACATACACACATATATCATTTGTCAATTTCCTCCTGCAAAGAACCCTAGCTGACATCCATAATCACCCTAAAGGGCGACCAAAAAGAACCAGCCAGTGGCCTACGAATGGATATCGTCTTTGAAGCACTGGTCTTCGGCGATAGATGGGATCAGGATGAATACTCCGCAACGGAGATGGTCTGGGGACAGGAACTCCTCCCTCAACGGATTCGAGGAGACCTGGGGCTCTTTGGTGTTCATGATCTGGATTTAGTGTTTTATACTCGTCTGGGAGAAACGTCTAGGGGTCGTGGTTATTATGTGTCGAGTTTGGAATGTGATGTTGTGAATAATGTTAAGGCGGCGTATACTAGGCTGGGGATGAAGCCAAAGTATTCCGATGAGGCCTTTTTGAGAGGGCGGAAGTCTTGGGGGTCACTTTGGGATTAGAATCTGTGTAGAGCACAGAAACATTGTCTTTCTTCTCATGAATCTATAGGATATGCCCAAGTACACTGTGAAGTTGTGGATATCAAGGTATAGCGTGGCTCGACATGTCCATTCGGACTAGTAATGTCTCCTCACTTGGTTTCCGACACAATATCTCCCTTACAACACCTACATTGGAAACGGATAGCTGGTAATTATTTAATTTGATCTCCACTAGGCGTCAGAAGGAGTGAACGGCACATACCGGTCCACCCAGGGTAGATACATCAAAGCCGGGCCAGACAAAAATGACAGAAATAAGATAGACAAGATAAAATCAAAATACGAAATCCCTGGCGCCCTCCTAATTCTTGTTTCTACATTGGAAACGCAGTGAACACAGAGCAGCCAAACGGGACCGTAGAAAAGCAGAACATAAAATTGCAGAGGGGAGTCAATAGTCCCCGGTAAGAACATCCATTATCATGATTGGTAAAGTGAAGGGATAAAAGGTAGAAGAAATTGAAGAGGTCATCCGGAGACACTGGTCTGTGTTCATGGTCATGTGATGGAATGAATACCCGGGTTCATGGGCTGGTGCCAATCTATGCCTCGTCCTTGGACTTCTTCTTGGACTTTTTGCTTGGCTGTGGTGCACCCTCCTTCTTCTGGTGCACGACCAACCGGGTCCAGCACTCTTCCTTGTCCCACTCGAAGCCAGCGAGGTAGGGTTTGTCGAGTTCATCATCCGCCTAGCGGGGTCACGTCAGTCATCATGGGCTCTCTGTATTCTATACTGTAGAACCACTGACCTTCTTCTTGAACTGTTTGTAGATGGCATCCAATGCGTCCTTGATCGTGACGCCCTTGAGGTTCCGTGCGGTGACTTCTAGGCCAAGGGGGAAGTGTAGGTCAATCTTCTTGACGGGTGGAGTGACGAGGAACATTTTGAGGATATCTTTGTCTTCAATGGTTGAGGGGGAGGTGTTGAGTTTCCTGGACAGACGTCAGTGAGACTGATCAATATGTGAGGAATTGAGATGAGATACTGACCACCCAGTCTTCTGTGTTTCGATTGGTAGTTCAAGGTCCATCTTTTGCTCTTCTGAAGTACCATCAGGATAGGTTCCTTAACTGAGATTGACGATGTACTTACCAAGGTCCTTGATGTTCCAGATACCTTCTACCGTTGAGGAGGTCCGCCTGTGGGTCTTGGCCTTGACCTCCTTCTCAATCTTGGGTTTCTCATCGGATATGGACAAGCCAGCGATGGCCGAATCGACTTTGGTTAAAGGAACAGACATGTTTGCAGAGTGTATCTGATCAAGTTAGAGATGGGAAAGGATCAAGATGGGATGAGGAATATACTCTCAGATGAATCAGGAGATGAATCAAAGATCAGGAGATGGAAGAAGGAAAGAAGAGGGGGAAGGCAGGTGACCAAGGTTGTGTGAGAGGGGGTGCAGAGTCCATCGTCATGAGTGTCATGTTACTTTGGTTATCTGGTGTTTGTCTATAACAAGGAAGTACCCTTTTCTATATCTTTTGGTTTCACCATTCTACTATATATTATCTATTCAACTAATATTTATACTATTGAATTATTACTACACCATCATCATTATCTTCATAGATACAGGTATAGATACATATTACATATAAATATCATACAAGACAACCGGCCTCCCCCGGATTGAACTGACATCAACATTGTTAATCTTGGCCAATCTTAGTGCTGCACCCCGCATTTGGGCTCCACTTTATTAACGGCAGATCACTCTTATATAGCCCTTATATAGCCCTCATATACTATATTAGTATATATTAGTTCGTATATTAGTTCGTATATTAATTAGTTAGTACATCATATTGGTACATTGGTACATTGGTACATTGGTATATTGGTATATTGGTATATCATGTTAACTAACTAGTTAGTTCGTACATCATATTGGTACATTGGTACATTGGTATATTGGTATATCATGTTAACTAACTAGTTAGTAATATAATATTAATATATTAATATACTATAACTATAACTATCGTATGACTGTGTCACCTGACTATATGGTACTTAATTCCATCGTACCACTCTCTAATCTACTACTGACCACGTGAGGTCATTTCGTACAATACAATAGCAATACCTTAGGTAATACCTGGCAAACCAATCCAATCCTTACCTAGGTAGGGTTCTTACTCTTAATGAAGATTCCTGTATGGCGTAATTAACCGCCATTATCTCATCACACTGATCTGGACTCAAGGGACCTGTTTTAATGACAAAGTGTCCTATAAACTGGATTTGCAGCCTAATAGACTCAAGATATCTGATTTAATAGTCGAACAGGTATACCACGTCGGGATATTGGATATTATACTGTATATATACTCATCATCTAAGCTCAACCATCTCTTGGACCACAAAAATATGAAACAACTCAATCTTGGTTAACCTTCAATTCATATTTACAATTCACCTAGAAGATAAGAGAATATAAAGGTATTGGGCAAACGGCCACTTATGACTCGGTATAAACTTTTTGACATTCGTATAGATATTGCATGGCGATACCGGGAAAGTGAAGGTTGAATCGAGTCTTATCTTCTAGTTCAATCTCTCCAAATGCCTTAAACTGACCAGTAAAACTTCATCCAGTAACATCATCTATCAGAATGGTTACCGAGCGGATAACTGCAGTCCGACAATGCTGCCTTGATAGTCGTGACTCACGGTATCTATGGACAGCTACATAGCTATAGCTTTGTCAATGGAATGAGCGTATAAATAAAGAATAAGTATGCCCAAGTGATTTCAATAAAAACGTAAAGACAAAAGTTGGAAGATGATTAAAGTAGAATACTCGAGTGAAGGTTGAAGTATAAGATCCACAGATACAAAGGCGGTGAGATATATTTTCTGCCGGCATCGCGCATCGCTTTCTGTCGAGCTACAATTATCATCGACTTCTCTGTCTCTTCCTTTCTCCACTGAGCTCGACTTTCTTTCTTCTCTGCATGACTCCCCAGCTGTGAATTCAGCTTTGCCTTTGTTTTCTGTTCCCATCCTTTCATCACCTCCTCGATACCCTTTACCATATCACACCTCTCGCGCCCTTTCAAATGTCACTTTTCGGCGCCGGCGCGTCGTCGGCCTCGGCAGGCCAGACAAACACCACCGGCGACATCTCCAAGGACGTCGCCCTCAACACTCCCCCCGAGGATGGCATCTCGGATCTCCGCTTCTCGCCTACCAGCGAGCACTTAGCCGTCGCCTCGTGGGATAAGAAAGTCCGCATCTACGAAATCAACGACCAGGGACAAAGTGAAGGAAAGGCACTCTTCGAGCATGAAGCTCCCGTGCTGAACTGCTGCTGGTCTCCAGTAAGCTCACACTCCTTCTCACCAACCCCCACATATTCGCACCCAACAACTCAACTTCTATGCACAGAAACTGACATCCTCTTTTTTTTCTCTCTTATAGGATGGAACCAAGGTCGTCGGTGCCGGTGCCGACAAGGCAGCCCGCATGCTTGATCTCGGCTCAGGCACGACAACCCAAGTTGCCGCCCACGACGCCCCAATTCGAAGCTGCCATATGATCCCCAATCCCTCCGTGGGCGGATCCCCACTCCTGATCACCGGATCGTGGGACAAGACAGTCAAATACTGGGACTTGCGCCAGTCGACCGCAATCGCTTCCGTCGAGTGCCAGGAGCGTATCTACACCATGGACGTCAAGAACAAGCTTCTCGTTGTCGGCACCGCAGACCGTTACATCAATATCATCAACCTCGACCAGCCAACAAAGTTCTACAAGACTATGCAATCACCCCTCAAGTGGCAGACGCGGGTAGTCAGCTGCTTTTCAGATGCCTCGGGCTTCGCGGTCGGCTCCGTCGAGGGCCGTTGTGCTATTCAGTACGTCGAGGAGAAGGATTCCGCCTCGAACTTCTCCTTCAAGTGCCACCGTGAAAACCCGCCCGCAAACCGCGATGTCTGCAATATCTATTCCGTTAACGCTATCTCTTTCCACCCCATTCACGGAACCTTCAGCACTGCAGGTGCAGACGGTACTTTCCACTTCTGGGATAAGGATGCGAAGCACCGTCTCAAGGGTTACCCCGCTGTCGGAGGCCCTATCACTACCACCGCTTTCAACCGTACTGGAAATATCTTCGCTTACTCTGTCAGCTACGACTGGAGCAAGGGTTACTCCATCAATACCCAGCAGACTACCAACAAGGTCATGCTGCACCCTATCGGGCCTGATGAGACAAAGCCCAGACCGAGTACGCGCAAGCGTTGATTTGGACCTGAGCTTTTTTTTCTTTTTTGCGTGGGATAGGTGGGACATTTTTTCGCCAATCGCTTTCGTGTCCCATCGCTACAACGAGCATGTAATGAAATTTTTACCATATCGGCGTGTTTTGATTAAGTGCAAATGGGATTTCTTTTGCCAGCCTGGCTATTTTCTTTCTTGGAAGGGTCTGTTAGGACCTTGGGAGATGTAGCCCTACTATGAATATAGATTGTAGAGCTAAGCAGGAACAAGTAGACGAGACATCCAGGATCGAGCCTTCAAAAACAAAACACCTTCATTGCATCCATGCGTATGATACCTATAAAAAAAGGAAGAATTCCCAAGCCAGTTGAATATGCCCAGAAAATGATCCCCGTTCATGACCCATTCACAACATCTCTCATAGAGAATTATAAAAAAGAAAGCTCCTACAACACGCCTTACATGTATTTTCTTATCTAGACCACCCCGTTGAAGACCTGACCATCTACGAGGTAGGCAGAGTAACCTGCGCCACCCCATCAGCAATCTTCTCAACAGCCTCATCATTCTTGCCTTCAGTGGTAACGGAAACCTTCTCCGCCCCACCCTTAGCAGACCCCTCAACACCACCTTCAGGAGCACCAGCACGGCCCTTCTCCTTCTTCTCCTTCTTCTTAGCCTTAGCAGCAGCCTTCTTCGCAGCCAGCTTAGCAGCCTCATCCTCCTTCTTCTTCCGGTCAGCCTGCGAGCCACCAAACATCTCACGCCACTCATCCGCATTCTTGGGATCAATACGCGTGAACAGGTAAGCGGCCTTGCCAATCTTGTGGCCGGCCTTCAGGGAAGTAGGCTTCCAGCCGGACTGGAGCTCTTCCACACTGGGGATGTACTGGAAGGGTGCGTTCAGCTGCTCCAGAATCGACTTGGAGGTTGCAGGCATGTATGGCGAGAACACGCTGGACAGCAGGTGGATCAGGTTGAGCACTGTGCCGACGACGGCGGCTGCACGCTCGGGCTCGTTCGCAATCAAAGCATTGTCGAGTCGGTTCGCTTGGATCAGTCCGTTACCCGCCTCGGCGATGCGCATGGCTGTCTGCACACCGGCGCGGAGGTGCGCACCTTCCAGGTCTTCGTGGTACTGGCGCAGGTGTTCGGTGACTTCCTCTAGGAATGGGTTGAAGGTCTCTGGCACGGTGAATTCCGGAATGACGGAGCCGTAAGAGGCGGTGACAAGCTTGATGACGCGGTTGACGAGGTTACCGAGCTTGGCGAGGAGCTCACCATTGTTGCTGTCCACGAAGGGACCCCACTCGAACTGAGTGTCGCCAGTCTCTGGGCGGTTCTTGAGCAGGAAGTAACGCCACACATCGGCGGAAACGCCGGTTTCACGGGCGTTCGTGCCGAACACACCCACGCCGCGCGACTTGCTAAACTTGCCGCCTTCGTAGTTGAGGTACTCGGTCGTGCTTAGGTGGTGCAGCATGGTCCACTTATCTCTCGTGCCGATCTGTGTACCGGGGAAGATCACACTGTGGAAGGGCACGTTGTCCTTGCCCAGGAACTGCCACAGCTGCACATCCTCCGGGTTGCGCCACCACTTCTCCCAGTCGTCTGTGTAGTTGGCAGTGATCGAGGGGTAGCCGATGCAAGCCTCGAACCACACGTAGAGAACCTTGTTCTCGTATCCCTCCAGCGGGACGGGAACACCCCACTTCAAGTCTCGGGTGATACCACGATCCTTCAAGCCCTCCTTCAACCAGGACTCGGTAATAATGCGGGAATTCCTAGGCCAGTTACCCTTCTCAATAGCGGGGTGAGCCCATTTCTCGATCTCCGGTTGGAGCTTGTCAAGCAGGATGTGGATGTGTTTCGTCTCACGGCGGACGGGGGAAGCACCGTCAAGCTTGCAGCGGGGGTTGATGAGATCAAAGGGATCAAGTAGGTGACCGCACTTGTCACACTGGTCTCCACGGGCATCGTCGTAGTGGCAGCGGGGGCATTCACCCTCCACGAAGC